AAAAAGAGAGAGAAAGGAACCAGAGCCCTATTTAGGTGAGAATTGGTGGAAGGCCTTTCTGATGACGCAGCATTTGAGCAGAGACTTGAATGAAATGAAGGTGTGATCTCCACTGGGAGTTAAGTCTTTGGACTGAGAGTAGAGTAAACAGAGGCTTTGCAGAAAGAGCATGATTGAAGAGTGGCAAGAAACCATCACCTGAAGGCAGTGAGCCTGTAGACAGGAATAAAGTGGAAGAGTAGGAAGAGGAGGTGGCTAGGGGTCAGATCATGTAGGCCTTTTTTAGGGCCCTAAAGATTTTAGATCTTATTTAAGTATGACTGAAAGGTGAAAGTTATTGTGGATAGGCCTTATAATAGAGATTGCAGTAGACAGGGTGAGAAATAGTTAGATTGGGGATACGTTTTGAAGATGGTAACTACAGAACTTTTTTTATGGATTTGATTTAAAGTGTGAAAGAAATGGAGGGGAAAGCAAGAATAATAACTATATTTTGAATTGAGCTCAGATATTGATTAGGACACTCAATTGGAGAATACTCAGCATTGGATTGAAAATTTGAGTTTGAAATACCTGTTAAATATACTAAATATTTGGTATTGGACCCTAAATTGCAGTCCAAAGTGATTGTAACAATTGTATCCATTGGAGTGACCTTCAGATTTGGTGTTTACTCAGGAAGAGATAGCATGCCAAACTACTAATGCGTTGATGCATTGATATCAGTACACTAAGGGAACCTGTGATTAAAACAGCAAAAAACTACTTATCTCTTTTGTGTAACATCAACAATTTGTCCTGAAGTAAATTCTGTAAGTTAGGGTTACTAATTTTATGGGTTTTTTACTTTGAGGTTTTTTTTTTTTTAATTGAGACCATTTTTGTTTTGTTTTGCTTTGTTTTTAATTTCAGATGCTGGATCTGGTATGGAAGAAGTGGAATTAAGCTGGGAAGATTATCTAGAAGAGACAGGGTCCACAGCAGTTCCCTATGGGTCATTTAAACATGTAAGAAATAACTATTTGCTTACTGATTATATCCTTTCCCTTTTAATCACTGTAATTATTAGAGGATTTAGAGTTATTTTAAGTTGAGGTATTTGAAAAAATTTAAATGTTCTTTCCTTTTCCTTCTTCCTGCTACTCTCATTAAGAAAACTTGACATATTCTTTTTTTGTTTTCATTTTTTGAAACAGGGTCTCGCTATGTAGTTCAGACTGGCCTTGAACTCACTATGTAGCCTAGGCTAGCCTCAAACTTGCAGCGATCCTCCTGCCTCAGCCTCCAGAGTGCTGGGATTACAGGCATGTGCCAAGAAAACTTGATATATTCTAAAATTCTTTTTGGTGTGTGTATGTATGTATGTGTATATGT